TATATATATATATATATATATATTGGTGTTTTTTGACCTTTCGATTTTGCACTCAAGAATACGAGTTGTTATTATAGCATTATATTGTCGTTGTTAATCCTTTTGTTTTATTATATTGGTGCAGATGAAAATGATTTACTAGGACAGTTAGCATGAAAAGATTATTTCTTTGGTGTTTTTTTTTTAGACTTAATAAAATTTTTATAATCATTTATGTCACTGAATTACTTTCGAATTAAATTTTTGGAGCTCATAGACATTAGCATGGCATTATCACAAAATTTCAGTAAATTTTTAGATGTTGGAAAAATTTTTCAAAATTCATTTACAGTTACATGGCTGCTTTTTGGTGCATATGCAGCATATGCAGCATATGCTTTTTAAAATATCGAAAAAGATAAAATATCAAAAATAAAAAAAATTTAGCATTATTAAAAATATACTCTTGAATGGTAGTGAGAGTATAAGATTCAGAAGTAGTAATGGGTGATGGAAATTCCGTCATTTGTCAGGAATAAACTGTCTTGTGAGCAGTTTCTCGATGAACAATTTGGTAGCTTCAATTTTTTTCCAAAACTTCGATAGGGATTTGAATTTTTCCGTAAAGAAACACTCAAAATGATAAAAAATTGTGATTCTTCAGAAATTGACTGCAAGAGAATTCAAATTTCTCATAAACCTCTCTTGTCGTTTTCTATAAGCTTATTATGCTAATTAGCAACAAAATTGATCAAATTCGAACTTCATAAGTCTACTAGAAAACCGGTACGGATTTGGTATATATCGTCAGAAACGGTTTTTAATAATGCGAAACTCGTTTGGAATAGAGTAGTCATGAACTGATCACCACGCATATGGCAATTCAATAAGCGTGAAATTCAAAACAAATTAAAGAATTCTAGTGTAAAGTGCTACTAAACTATTTGCCAACGCAATTAAGATGAGTATATTTAGAAGTTTCCCAAATATATTTTGGATATTTTCTAACGCATAACAACCTATTTATAACCTTTGTTTTTTGCCAATTTCAGCTTTTCAGTTAGGCTTAAGACAGTGAACTTTAAGTGAAATAGGTAACCAATACGAAATAGCAAAAAGTTTCGAAAATACTCAAATAATATTTTCTTGAAATGAAGATTTTGTCAGCTTTAAACCCACCTTTTTAATCATTTTTGTACACAGATGCAGATATTTTCATCTACGTGAGGTAGCAGTAAAAATTATATTTTTATTACGTGTGGTTTAAGCACGAAACAATAATGGTTTTGGTAATAAACTATTATATGTAACTGAATACTACTACTTTTACGCAATTAAAGAATTCTAGTGTAAAGTGCTACTAAACTTTGAGTTATTCTGTTTTTATTTCCACTTTCCCGTATAGCAATTTTCTAATATACGTATATGTCACGTACGTTTTGATTATACAAAATTTTAAATATTTCCATAAGAAAAAGTTTATTGTATTTGTATTACAACGACGACTTGATCTACCAGGCGCAATATTTGAATTATTATTCGAGAAAACATACCAGTAGTATTTGAACAAATCTATTCATTATAACAAATCTTTCTATTACTCTATTTTTTTCCAAATAAATGCTTGAGGACAACATAAAAATTAATTTTCATATGCAGTATAGGAATAATGTGAATATATTAAAATTTATCATATTTTTTATTTGTCTCCTTTCGAGTCTTTTAATTTAAAAAAGTTGCTGTAAACTTTCCAAAATGGAAACAAAATAATTTCGTTAAATTATTCAATGTTTTCGAGATTTTCAATCTGAAAAAGTTAATGTATCGATGTGCTTTTTGTTCTTCTACTGATTTGAGATTCTGTGAAAAATAATTTGATATATTCTGAATATTTAGCAAAAATGGTGCAATTATTTTGGTTTAAATTAGAAGAATTGAATATTTTTATTTATAATTTAAATGGCTTTTTCAACCTATAAATTTCTGTCTTCGTTATTTTTTTAAAAAAAGTTGGCAATTTTTTGAATTTTAACAAATTCTAAATCTTGATGTCTAAAAAATTAATAATGCTCATTTTTGTAGAATAAATAAATTTTTGATGAAATTTTTATCCAACAAAATGGATTACTTTTTAATGAATACTTAAGGAGTATTAGTAGCTTGAAAATATAAAATTTACTTCAATAATTTTTAATTTACTTCTTATTTAATCATAACTCAACAAGTATACTTCCTGCTTCAAAAATGACTTTGCAAATAGTTTTAACTTTGACTTTATTTTCTGTTTCAAAAGTTTTATATTTCCAGAAATTTGTGTTATTAAATGATACAGGTGATAATCTTATTAAAAAAGCATTTTTAAATTACTTTGTAAATTTGTCTCTTATAATTTGCATGCTCATTTCTAAAATTCTATCATTTTAACAGGTTATAACTGACTGATCTACTGATCAAAAGATTAAGATTTGTAAGACAATATTATCTATATTTGATTATAGTGTTAGTATCAAAATTTGCATGCATATATTCATTCGTAGCTTAAAATGGAATAACAAATAAGTCAGCTTAAGTAAATAATTTATATTCGAACAGATTTTGTAGTAATTTGAGCCAAATGGAAATATAAAGCCAAAAATGATAAGATAGTAGTTAATAAAATAAATAAGTTTACAAAAATTTTTATTATTTTATCTATGATGTTATTTCATGCTAATTTTTAACAAAAATAATTAAATGTAAGTGTACAAAATCACATTGTTATCGAAATAACTTGAATTTCTCATTAAGAAACCTTTCCATAATAACTGAATATTAATTATTTATTTAAGCTTTATTCTTCTTATAGAACAAGAAAGCTTAAATAATACAATTTTGTATTTTTCTTATTAATAAATAAGAATCTATCAAAGTAAGATAGATAGTTGAGAATTTGAGATACAAAATTCGCATAACCTCAAAATATTGAAACTTTTTCTCGTAATTTATTCACTAAATGCATACATCATATTCACTGCATTCCTGTAATGTAAATCCTTGTAGCAATTTTTTTATCTGCAAATTTTGAAATTGTGATCGTAAATGAGATTAATCTTCTGTAATACTTTTTTCACAACTATAGATCAACGAACCAAAAATTACTGTATATGATATGTAAAGAAATTGCTCTGCATTTTATTAAACAGAATAATATATTAAAATTTTTTCAGTATTGCATTCCACAAGAAATTAAAATATACTTAGCTATAGACATTCCTGATTTATTATCTGTGCATTTTCATGATTTATATAGCTAAGAAACTGCGCTAATAAAGCTCTAATAAATGCGCATGATCTGCGCTAAAGACGTGAAAAAACGTGGCTTATTGCGTGATGAGTTAAAATGAACATTAACTGCTATTTTCAATAATTAACAATAATGATTATTAAATTAGATTAAATGATTTTTAGGTGATGGCAACGAATGATGCATTAACAGCATTACCGTACTTCCTCAGCTTACAGCTGTTACTCTACACTTTCACACCAGCTGCTTATGCGATCATTCTCAGCTATGAAACTCGTCCACGGGAAATGGTAGTAAGCTCTTTCTTCGTATGTAAATTAAATAATTCAAAACTCACATAAAAAACATTTGACATCACTCATATTGAAAAGAGTAGAGATAGCAGAAAATTCTGTAGAACATTTTATTCGCCATTAATTGTGACTTCTAATTAGTGGAAAGTTACCATCTGTTTCTCAATCAGTCTTGAAAAAAGGCTTATTTTTCATATTTTTATGATTTACTCATTTTCATTTGCAATAGTTTGCTTGAGAGGAAAATTAATTCAGAAGACTTTACTTGTCTGCGTCGTTCAAAGGTAACATATTGAATAATAACACGTAAAACGCGTATATAAAATTAGAACTTTCTGAAAAATAATTAGCTAATTAAACAGAGTGAATATTATTCAAAATGCAAGGTAAATTATAAATAATAAATATTTATTGCTTTTGGTGAAATTAATGGTTACGCATTCAAGAAGTCATATTCTCCAGTATCTCCTTTCTATTTTCAAATAAGCTGAACGTTTACAATTACTTATTGTATTCTAGAGCATGATTTACTGCAATTCATTAAAAATAAAACAGAAGTCAAATATTTCAGTAAACCCGCCTACCTCACACCACTTTCTTTTTCCAAATATAGGTTATATATATAACCTATGTCCCCCCATAAATCTTTCTCTTAACCTACATATAATTTAGGTCATATATAAGTATATATATAACCTTAGCTAAAATCATGCAGCTCTTCCAATAACTGAACTGAAAAATTACATTCTGAAGAATCGGTAGCAACCAATTTTCCATATCAACTAATCGATAAGGTGCTATCGCAAAATACCTACTAAGCAATTCTAGTCCAATCTACTTTAAAATCATGATCAAATTAGATTGTTTGTTTAGCACTATCTGAAAACACCTTTCGAAAATTACCAGCCAAATGTACAGACGAAACGTAGTGGAGAAATGTGGATGTCACTGCTAACCTCAGCGCTTTTACCAGAAACCGGGAATCGAGGAGATGATCACAGATATCACGGATTAAGAGGAAGAAAGTGAAATCCAATTCTTGGCACATATTTCATCTTTCAATAATTTATCGGATGAAGATGAAGTCATAACAAATGTATTCTAAAGTCATGGGCTAAACGTGTAATATGTCATAAACATTGACAACGTTTTTATCAATAATCCCATTGGCGTAAGATAATGAACAGCCAAAAAATGGTCCCAAACATTCAATGTGTTTCACAAGTTATTTTTCGTAATCCTAATAATTTGAAACGAAAGAGAATAAAAAGCGTGAATTAAGAAATAAACAAATATGCAAATAAAGTTCCCTATGTAAATTCGAACTAATCAACTAAAATTATACGAGTTTTTACAAAAGTAACAATAAAATAAGAAACGCACGAAGCTTACAAACTGATTGCGAAAAAAAAATACTCAAGCAGAAATTTAACAATTAGAAGGTGCTCATTCACTTCTTGACAAAATCTTATATTCAAGTTGGATAACAATCTCAAATGAATAAATGAAGAGTATTACAAAGCAAAAAATGCAGTGTCCCTGATAGTTAACAGATGTGACGTAAAAGTTACATAGAATTCAACAAAAAAGGAAATCGACCGAGGTATCAAAGGTAAATTACAGTAACTGAAATCAACTTTGCAATGATAAAAATATCTTACAAAGTATACGTTGACCAAATGCTCCTGCCGTAATAAGACTCACAAAACATGTAAAATATAAAATACGAACAAGGCATTTCTGTTTTGAGTATTAAACTACTTCTGATCATCAAAAATAAAGATCTAAATTCATAATCAGTATACAATTTCCTGTTAACTTGTTTTTTATTTTCTAAAGAATGTTGGGAAATATTAATAGTTACAACTAAGTGACAAGTAAATTACCAATTCCTTGACAATACATAGCCATGCTAAAACAATATTCATATGAATTATGTGCTACGCTACAAAAGTTACTCCCACCCTCAATAGTTCGACAAAAACCCACAGACATGAGTTTTCTATAAATTTTATAAAAAGCTTCAATAATGCAAGTTGCTAAAACTAAATTTAAATCCATGGTATTTACTTTACAAAGACACTGAAAGCCTTTATCACTTGACAGTGAATAAAAAAAATCCCTCAGAAGCAAAAATTAAATGCTCTAAAACTTTGTTGTTAGCAACATGATAAGGCAGTAATAAAAAATATGCACATACATCTAAACATGACATTTCCAGAAGAATATGTTGGAAAATGCAAGCAAGAATATGTTGGAAAATGCAAGCAATTAACAACTTAATTCAAAGATCATCAAATTTACTTGTTCCGCAATCCGCTTTTCGCTTTGATCCAGCCATCATTGCTCCCAAAATCTCAGCTTCAAAATCAGCAAATTCAACAGAAGTCATCGGTCTTTCTACAACATATACTTCATAACATATAATAACAACGTTTACTGTAACTTAAAAGATTGACAAAAACCAAAAACTAGCATAAAATTCTCACCACCAAATGAATCAGGATGTCTCTCAGGCACCACAGACTTGAGAGCTGTGGGAGGCTTTTGCAAGCAGGTCACTGTAAGTGGAAGATCTGCTCTGCCTGCTTCCTTTTCAACTCCTTCCTTAAATAAAGCCAAATAAAATTTTGTATATATGTATAATAATATATTAAGCACATATATAGTACAGTTATGATGATATTGGGTAATATTACGCAAATTAAAGAAAGTGGAGAGTAAAAAGATAATACTTATTTCGTAATACTCATCCGTGGTATCGCGGTTTTGCAGAGCAGCTGGCCAGGGTAAGCGCTGAAAGCGGTTTTTGACCATTTCGAGAAAATGCCGAGAGAAGATGGCTATTGTGCAGCTCCCTATATGGCAAGAAGACTGTGTGCGATTACCTTTCAAGAATTGAAGAAGCAAGCGAATTCTCCGATCACTAGTATTCAGGTCGTCCATGTTCGTAGAAACAGTTCATGAATGAGAGTCAATGTGAAGCTATACAAAATCATGCTAGCTATATAAGATGCAGACAAATAAGCTATCTTTAATGGCTGATTCATCAATGTGGCAACGATACGGAAACATTACTTCAAAAGATGAAGCACGATACTGTTAATTTCAAGACAGAAATATGTTAGGAGCGAAGAAAGATACGTGCTAACATATTGCAGAGAACGTGCGAAGACGGTGAATCATTTGGCAACGCAGTGCGAGAAAATCCTATATCATGATTAGCACTATGAGAAAAAAACACAATGAGAAGATACAGTGTATCTAACTTGAGACTTGCACAAAGTATGGTTTGAAAGCATTTCGGCGCATGCGAAGCCATTTTATTCAGGAGATCGTTGCAAATGAGATAGTAGATATTAGCGTCTCAAAACAGCTCTAAAGATGAGTGCGGATTTACCAGATATCCTGGTGCATGACACGAAGCGACATGAAGTAATCCTGATAGAGACTGGCATCGTCAGTCAGGCCGGACTGACAACACCCTAGACCAAGAAGAAGATAAAGTATGACATACTAGCCAATAAACTCAGATCAGAGATGATATGTAAGACGAAAATAATTCCGTATGTGAAGACTTGAGATGGGATCGCAACGAAATTCGGTAAATGCTACAAGAATGCGACCAGTATATCTGATCATGTTGAGGCATATATCTAATCGATAGTGTTTAAGAAGACGCTTGAAAGCATTTTATTCGATACTCGTTATGGATTTCACGAGGACGAAGTGAAAACGATCAGCACAACAAATCTAAGCGCGAGATAAGTACAGCCAGAGTGACAGAGTACGATTCAGCGTGAAAGTCAATAAGGCAGAAAAGAAGATCAACCTCCATGTGAGATTATATATGTACTACATAAAGAACTATTAGAGATGATATACCTTAAAAAACTATGTCTGAAGCCTCAAATAGCAAAAAAGTACTTACATCATTTACTAACTGATCGAATTCTAAAATTGCCATGCCTTTAGTTCCTGATGAAATAACCACATCCGAAACACGACCATACTGAAATTTTGTTCTAACACTTTCTACAGTAAAGAAAATGAACAACAAAAGTAGTATGAAATACGTTGCCACTAGAGATGCTTTACCTTAGAAAACAATGCGCGGATATCTTCTTCATCATAATCATAAATATCTTTGTCTCGTTTCCATTTTAACTTATAGCGAGCGACTAATACTACAAATAAGTTAATTAGAGATTTTGTTTGTCTGACAGAAGAAAACATACTTGTGGAAGAAGGTAAAAATCAAAATTTATAATCTTGAAGTTTATGATCATTACACCGCTTTATGGTAGTTGCCGGTCGATTTATTTCTCGTTCAATGTTCTGCCTTTCACGTTCCAGCAATCTCGAACCTTCTCTTCGCAAACGTTCAATCTAAAAAATTTCATTTATGAATGAATTGCAGTATATGAACTTCAGAAATCTGTAATTACGGAAAGTGCCCTCAATGAAAATATAAGCAGAAAGTTATGATTCTCTCTTATTCATAAATGAAAACATTCCTTACTGGAACGATATAAGCTTTAGTAGACCTCTTTTTGCAGCTCTCTGTTAGCCTTCTCTTCTTCTTGCTGAGTAGTCATAGCATTGGCTTCTCTCTTTTCAAGATCTTCACGTAGCTTCCGTCGCTTTTCACTTTCATTTTGCTGTCTTCGTTGCACATAAACTGAACGCGCAGCCTTTGCAGCCAACACATTATCATAGGCTGCCCTTGCTGCTTCATCCGATAGCAGTTCGAATGCTTTTGATATTTTTAAAAACATTTCTTGAGCTGAAAACAAACAAATTAATCCATACAAGTAATCCGTCAACAATCCATAGATAAAGTGCTATCAAATAAAGAACTGTGGTCACACCTCTTAGCAAACAATCAGGATTCTTATCTGGATGCCATCGCAGTGCAGCCCTCCGGAATGCCTTAACAATTTGTGAATCTGTGCAGTGTCGCTCCAAATTAAGAACTTCATAAGGGTCGAAATCTAACAACGGGCTGTTCGATGCCATCACTCTAATATGATAAAGTAAGCAACAATTACAATCTATATCTGTAATTCCAATCCAAACTCAAATGATATCCCAAGTTAAAACGCAAAAAATATATTTATATAACCAGCTTTACTGTGGCTCATACTGGACAAAATGAATGGGAGAGCTTTACTTTTTTTCAGTAGCATTCTGATTGTAACCCAAGATCACGGCAATTAGATGATAATAGTAGCAAGCGCAATGTAATTTCTATCAAAAAACCCCAAAAAGTACAATAAGTAATAAAAGTAATGCGTCCCTTATTCCAAAAAATTTTATAGATATATATTACTCTTACATCTCCTGATAAAAAAATACAATAATTCAAATCTATTTTTTATTGCAGCGCAATAATTAAAAAAATTGGATTAGAATAAAGCAATGGAAAGAAATTCCAGTTAAAGAAAAGTTTTGGAACAGGTGATATGCCTGGATCATTAAACCGAACGGACTTTAGTGCGGTAAAGCAGCACCACAAGATGTGAAGCCTAATTAAAGCATTAGAAAGGCCAAGATTATAAATAAAATTCTCTTATTTTTCGTATCTGGCTCAGAAGTATACAAATTAGTTTTTTCCAACTCTTTGAAACAACATTAAATCTACTGCAAGCAAACAAGCATTATCCGCTATATAATCCATCATCTGACGTTAATAAATAAAATGAATCAACAAATCAAATATGACATAATGCCCATGATGATATAGAAATAATGAGAATACTAATTAAATTAAGCAAAAATGAGGACGATAATACCCAATAATACTACAAAAATAATAATTAGTATCAGCGATGACAATCGAGTTCTGGCAAATGTACAAAAGACGCGTGTGGAGTATTTGATGGAGTAGTATTTAAACTTGCACAACAAATCTCGCAACCATCAATCAAACGGAGGAGTTCATCGGGTGTTGGTCCCTGAACAAAAAAGGACATAAAGAATGAAACACATAACGAAGTAATAAATCACAGTTGTGTGTTTTGCTAGTAAACATTTTAGAAAATATATCTTTCACATACATTAGACTTGACATTCCTAACTTTCCCTCACATATTACTGAAATAGCAATCTGAGAAATGCTAATAAATAATCGATTTCAAAAGTCGAAAAAACAAGACGTTTGCTAATATATGCCAACTTCAAATTCTACTGGAAAATAATAATCAACTTGAAATTAAAAAGCACTGACTTGCCGCAAAGTTCCATGAGATCGATTTGATAACAGCATTGTGTTTGTGCTAGAAGAAGCAGCAGCAGCTGCTGCAGAAGAGGATACAGTACCAGTTGTTTTTTCAGCATTACTTGCTTGATTACTCAGTAAAAGATTTGAAGATGTGAAGTTCGCATGGTACTGATCCAGAGCTGTTGTGAGGTCCCACATCTACGATTTTCGCTTTTAAAGTCAAGGTAAACAAAGATTGTTCTCTACGTTGACTTTAAAAGCAAAAAACAAGAGATTGAAAGGGATAATTTGAATAACACAAGTTTGCATAGAAAAAAAAGGACCATCAATGGACTGACAGCACAATCCACTGGTTTGGATAATTAACTTCTTAATATTTCTGAACTGTAACATACCTGAACTGTTCCATTAGAAGTGCCTGTGAACAGAAACCTTCTTGGTCTTGAATTAACTCTCGATCCCTCACACTCATGTACCAGAAAAGCAGTTATTGACGAACCTCCAACAGTTTTAATAGTGCAAAGCCTAAAAAACCAGCTGGAAGACAATAACTTTTATTGGAAATGATGTCTGTAGTCAAAAATTCTAAGACTGAAGTTACAGATTCAAAGTTATTGTTACTAGTTGCAAATTAAAAAACAAAAATAACAGATTGTAAAGTTATAATAAATAGCAATTCTGACCTATCCCCATTTGATGCCAATCTTACAAATACTTGATTGGTATCAGGGACTACACGCTGTACAAAAACTTGCTCCCCATCCTGGTCACCAAATGGCCCTAAAAAAGCAACAACATTAAGTAACTCAGCTATTGTAATTAGTATATATATATATA